CGTTTATTTTAAAAAGAAAGAGAAAAACGCAATTGATGTTGAGCGAGAAATTGATCAAAAACACGATTAATCAACTCAAATTTCTCTATTTTTTCGAAATTTCATTGATGATGATGATTTTCAAAAAAGCTATTAGATCTGACTCCTTCAATAGCTATTAGATCTGACTCCTTCAATAGCTATTAGATAGTAGTGCAGCCCGTCGAGCTGAGTTGATGACTATTTTACAGCTTCCAAAGTTTTCCCAGAAGCTCAACACTCAAATCCTCCACTAGATCTCATCGTCAGCTACATTTTCCAACCCCACATCGATAGGTTCTGATCAACGGTTCTCGAGATTTCGAGGAATTTAGGCCAAGCTTAAGATGCGCTACTAGAGAAACTACGGTATTCTGGCGCACTAGATTCAAATCAAAAGGCTCTCTGGCAAAAGGCAAAAGCATTGCTTGATTGTGCTTTGAAGATTTTACCCTATTTTCTCGAATAGTAGTGCACCTTAAGCTTGACCTAAATTCCTCGAAATCACGAGAACCGTTGTAAGACTAATTTGACTCCTCCTTCAGTAGCTATTAGATCTGATTCCTTCAATAGCTATTAGATCTGACTAATTTGACTCCTCCTTCAATAGCTATTAGATCTGACTAATCTTCAAAAAAAAGCTTTCAAAAAAAAGCCTTCAAAAAAAGCTTTCAAAAAAGCCAAAATTTCAAATCTCAACCATTTTCTCGGCTTCATTAGCTGTTTTTCATCCAATTTTCATCCAATTTCTCTAGAATTTTAAAGCTAAAGCTATTTTTCGACTCGAATTCTTGTGTTTTATACTAGTTTGAAGCCCATTCACCCATTTGAAGCCCATTTGAAAGAGCCGAAATGACGTTTGTTTATCTCAAAAGTTTCCTATCGCAAAAATTCCTTTCGGCAAAGAGTTGAGGGAAAGATTTGAAAAAATTTGTCGAATAGATCAGCCGATCAGACTATCAGACGTAGAATTTATCAGGAACGAATGGAAATAAACGGGGGAAAAGGCGGAAAAGGCAAAAGGGCGAGCGCCGCCTCCTCGTGAGCGGAAGTCCACTCCTCGTTTTTCTCTTTTTCTCTTTTTCTCTTTTTCTCTTTTTCTTTTCGTTTTCTTTCGTTTTCTCTGAGTTTCTATAAAAGCAAACATTTCAATACTGTTTTTTAAACAATATTTGCTCGATGTATATCCGGTTTTTCAGTTCTAATTCTCTTCTAAACAAGACCAATTTTGCCGACGTTTGCCGACGGGAATTCTTTGTGTGGCCGAGTAATCGCTCGCGATCTGGCAAACGGCCCTGGCATAAGGGGCTTCCTTTTTCTTCCTATTCCTCGTTGGCCTTTTTGCGGTTTTTGCTGTAAAACCCTGAAAGTTTTGGTTTTCCTTGATGATTTTGCTCTTGATGCTTCCATTCTTCCAACGTTGGCTTTTTTTGATTCAAAAGCTGTTCAAAAGCGGACGAGTAATCGCTCGCGATCTGGCAAACGGCCCTGGCATAAGGGACTTCGGTTTCGCCTCTGCTATTTACATTGTCCGCTCAACCTTTTTGCGTTTTTTTCTGTAAACTCTGAAAACCATTGGTTTTTCATTCCATTCTTCCAACCTTGGCTTTCTTTTCATTTAAAAGCTGTTTGTTCTAAATCTCTGATACACAGTTTCTCTAAAACCTTGAAAACCTTGGACTTTCCATTCCATTCTTCCAACCCTGGCTTTCTTTTGATTCAAAAACTATTTCTTCTAATTCTCTTATACACAAGACCAATTTGGCGCGTTGATTTTGTGCATTAGTAAGCTAACTTCTGCTAATTTCTCTAACTTCTCTATGATCTTTTCTCCCGATTATTGAGAATAATTTAGGTTTTTAAAGTTAAAGCAAAGGTTCATAAACCCTAAAAAAAGCTCTTGTAGTTGTTGAATTTGATTTGGATTTTTGTTGGATTTAGATTAAATCCAAAGACAGACATTTTACGGTAGACTTTAAAAGACAGACAAGTTTACGGTAGTCTTCAAAAGACAGATAAGCTTACGGTAGTCTCCAAAAGACAGACAGGATTACGGTAGCCTTCAAAAGCTGACATATTTTCAAAAACGCATTATTCTATAGAAAAGGATTAAATAGAAATCCCAATTGAAATCCTTGAATTCAGTGTTTTTTTCTGTTCGATGGCATGCTGCGTTTATAAAACATTAACTTTCAATAGGTTCTGTTCTATAGAATATTGTAGTTTCTAACTTCAAAAACTACTCTAATCTTACTAGTTTGGGGGTTTTTTATGTTTTTTTATGTTTTTTTGATGCTTTTAAAGATTTTAAACGGCTAGATGACCATAATCTGTATTTTTCTTTGCAAAAAATGAGCAAAATGAGCAAAATGATCAAGTTATTTTGATGCTAATAGTACAAAGATTTCTTTAGATCTCTTTTTCTTGTTCCCACCAAATCAACCCTAAACTTTGTCTTTTCCAATATCTTTTTCCATCTTTTCCAATGTCTTTTCCAATGTCTTTTCCAATCTTTTCCAATAAACAAGTCCTCAAAAATATTTATTCCATCACTTTTTCCCTTTTCCCTTTTCACTTTTTATCTTTTTGTCTGTCTTGAAGTTGAGAATTTGAAATTTTCGCTTCAAAACAACAACAACAACTTTTTGAATAGACAGATGAACGCAAAATTGGTGTGTTGACAGCGAAAATTGCCGATTTTTGGTCAAAGTCCTTGACAGTTTTGTACAGTCCCAAAACAACAGACCCATAAAAAGCGATTGGATGAGAGGATGAGAGGGGGAGAGCGCGTGCGGATTGCAAGCGACGATTTTTCAAATCCTGAACTCAAAAACAACCTCCAACGCCTGCCATATTTCGATTTTATTCGCGCTTGTACTTTCTCAAAACCTCATAGTATTCCTTACTAACGATGGCTAACTAGGGAACGGCTGGATTTCCCGAAAAGCCGAACCAAAGCTTGCCAAAGCTTACCAAAGCTTGCCAAAGCTTACCAAAGCTTGCCAAAGCTTACCAAAGCTTGCCAAAGCTTACCAAAGCTTGCCAAAGCTTACCAAAGCTTGCCAAAGCTTATCAAAGCTTGCCAAAGCTTGCCAAAGCTTGCCAAAGCTTACCAAAGCTTGCCAAAGCTTGCCAAAGCTTGCCAAAGACTTACAGCTCTATGACCAGATATTCGTTATAAGTCAGATCTAATAGCTATTGTTAGTCAAGCAAAGTCAGCAAAGCAAGGAAAGCAAAGTGGCTGGTTAGACCCAGCCAGAAGCCAGTCTAGTCCCAGCCGGCCAAAAGCCGGTCCAGTCCCAGCCGGCCAGAAGCCAGTCCAGTCTCAGCCAGCCAGAAGCCAGTCCAGTCCCAACCAGCCAGAAGCCAGTCCAAGTGGCTCCAGGTACTCTTTAGTTGTGTTTATTTGAAATCCTGAAAAGCTTCTGTGCTCACACAGTCTTTGGAAGCCCCAATTGAATCGAATTTCCAAACAAAGGCCCGCCTAATCAACCTTTCACCTCAACAATTCTCTCGAGAAATATTTGATAAAGTTTGATCTCTTTTTAGGCTTTGTTTCAATTTGATGGTTTTCTTTTAAAGAAAATGATGAAAAGGAGCTCTTTTTTTGGGGGAAAAATCTCGAGAAAACAAAGAGATTGGGGAACTCATATAAACACAAGAAATTTCATCGAAATTAACATTTTTTTGCTCGAATTTTTGTACTAAATCCTTTCTAAAGCATTTTTTTTGTTGATCCTTTAAAAGATTGACTTAGATTTGCTTAGATTTGACTCTTAATTTTGCAACTTTTCACCTGTAAACTTCAAATTCAACTTTTCGGTTTCAACAAAATTCGAGTGAGGCAATTGTTGGAAACATTTACTCCCCGTCATTTTCTGCCTTGCCTAGATTTAGAAGCCGTTCGGCAATTCGGCAGCACGTTCGGCAAATGATTTCACTGCTGATCTGTGATTCTTTCTTGAGATTGATCTGAGATTCTTGAGATACTTGAGATATCTTTTATCTTTTGGGTTTGTTTGGAGTTTTGACAAAACAAGATCACAATAAACACCCAGGACATTGTCCTGAGCGATTATTGTGATCTGATTTTGTCGCTATTCAACTGAACAAAGCATATGCCGTATTTTCTCTAATAGTAGTTCTCGAATTACCGTTTTCTCCCTAATAGTATTGTACACAGCCGAGCCGAGTTTATGCCTGTTTTACGGCTTCCAAAGTTCTCCCAGACGCTCAACACTCAAATCCCCCACAAAATCTCATCGTCAGCTACATTTACCGACCCCACATCGATAGGTTCTGATAAGCGGTTCTCGAGATTTCGAGCAATTTAGGCAACGCTCAGGATGATTTGGTTAGACGCGACTCGACGCGACTATTAGAGACTTTTTGAACAGCTGTTTTATAGTGCACCCTAATCCCCCTTCTCTTCGTCCCCGGCGAGCCGAGTTGACGACCATTTTACAGTTCCCAAGCTTTTCCCAGAAGCTCAACACTCAAATCCCCCACTAGATCTCATCTTCAGCTACATTTTCCGACCCCACATCGATAGGTTCTGATCAGCGGTTCTCGAGATTTCGAGCAATTTAGGCGACGCTCAGGGTGCACTACTATTAGAGAAAATACGGTAGCTAGTAAATTCAATATATTCAAAAAATTCAAACTTACCAAACTTGTAATTCTATTTTGAGTCTCAAAAGTCTAATAATAGTTAAAAACTAATAATATAATCGATATTTAGCTGAGTTTTTAGCTTTTTGCTTTACTTTTTTGATAGCTTTAAGGAAAAATGGACGAATTTTGGTCAGCCTCTGCAAAAAAAAAGACATTTTGTCCATTCGTTCATCCTTTTTTTCCAAGTTTTAGCTGGAAATAACTTTGTTTATTTGTTTCAAATTGTTTTTTTCTTTGATTTCAGAGCAATTAGCTCTCAAGAATTTTTGCACAAATCTCTTTAGAACAATTTTCCCATCTCATCAAAAATGTTCACAACTCGTGCTCTCGCCTCAGCCTCGCGTGCATTCACCGAAACAACCACTTCTTCTCCATACATTCGGTTTGATTTCCTAGATAAAACTCCATTCAACAAAAAGCCTAACTTATAGCCTAGCTTATAGCCTAGCTTATAACTTATAGCCTAACTTATAGCCTAGCTTATAGCCTAACTTATAGCCTAACTTATAGCCTAACTTATAGCCTACCTTATAGCCTAGCTTATAGTCTAACTTATAGCCTAACTCATAGCCTACCTTATAGCCTAGCTTATAGCCTAGCTTATAGCCTAACTCATAGCCTAACTCATAGCCTACCTTATAGCCTAGCTTATAGCCTAACTTATAGCCTAACTTATAGCCTAACTCATAGCCTACCTTATAGCCTACCTTATAGCCTAGCTTATAGCCTAACTTATAAAGTCGATTTCCTTGTCCTATTTGTTAGATAGATCCTTTCAATAAGCTAAAAACAGGGTGCGGCATTTAGATTTTTGCGTTTCATGCATCTTTTTGGCTTTCCTAGGAAAAGCTATTAATCTAAGCTGGAAAATAACACTTAATCATAAAATCTGCGCGTACTTTTACGTAGAACAGATGAATCGTAACACTTTTTAATGTTTTTAACAACCCTAGCCAAGCAATACAAAAAATGCTATGCTAGAAGGTGAAAAACAGTGAGCTGTGTCTCTAAAAATCGTCTTGTTCAGTCCTTTTCGGTATTTTTTTCCATCTTTTCCTGCATTAAGAGCCTTTTAGAGTTCTTTACTATAAAATTAATGCTTTTTAAGCTTTATTATTGCAAATTCGAGCTTATCTTGGCTAACAAAAATGGGCACATTTTTGAGAAATTTCACTTCTTTTGAAACACTTCTTATATGAAAAGAATAATTTTAAATTTTTACACAATCTAGTGGAAAAATGACCGTAGATTTGAAATATCTAAACGAAGAAACTGTAAACTCTTTTGGTTAGAGCCGGTGAGCTTAGAGCCGGTGAGCTTAGAGCCGGTGAGCTTAGAGCTGGTAGGCTTAGAGCTGGTAGGCTTAGAGCCGGTGAGCTTAGAGCTGGTAGGCTTAGAGCTGGTAGGCTTAGAGCCGGTAGGCTTAGAGCTGGTAGGCTTAGAGCTGGTAGGCTTAGAGCTGGTAGGCTTGGGGCTGGTAGGCTTAGGCCGGTGGGCTTAGAGCTGGTGGGCTTAGAGCCGGTAGGCTTAGAGCTGGTAGGCTTAGAGCTGGTAGGCTTAGAGCCGGTGAGCTTAGAGCTGGTAGGCTTAGAGCTGGTAGGCTTAGAGCTGGTAGGCTTAGAGCTGGTAGGCTTAGAGCTGGTAGGCTTAGAGCCGGTGAGCTTAGAGCTGGTAGGCTTAGAGCTGGTAGGCTTAGAGCTGGAGGCTTAGAGCCGGTGAGCTTAGAGCTGGAGAGCTTAGAGCCGGTGAGCTTAGAGCCGGTGAGCTTAGCTTAGAGCTGGTGAGCTTAGAAATCGTGATCGTTTGTAAGCAAAGTTTTGTTAATCAATTTCAATGAGCTGTCTTTTATTTCTTTAGCAAATGAAATATTTCAGAGCGATGCCTCAAACGAGAGTCCCGATTGAGACGTTTCAGGCGAATTTCAGTCAAAAAATCGACTCATTCAGCAAGTGAGGAAAAAGAGCCTTGTTTAAAGCTCCAAAAAAAGAAAACCCTTCCCTACATTCTAAAGACTTATATCAGAGCCAAAAAGTCGATAGAACCATGTTATAAGTTGAAAAGAAAGACAAAAATAGTGATGGTATGGCATGGATTATGACACAAATGACAAGATCTCTACAAACTACAAAGTCAGACTACAAACTACAAGGCCAAACTACAAACGGTTGTAGAAACGCGTAGAATAGAAATTTTTGAAAACTTTTTTTTACCAAAAGATTCAGCCAAATTCAGGCTTTCGAATGATATTAAAACCAAAAAAATCCACTATTTGTACTTCGAGAACAAGCCATTTATAGCCGTCTCACTGACAAAACTATAAACCTGAAAAAGGCCAAACTACAAGCCCTATTTCTCAGTGCAAAGAACAGAATTTTATTTGTTTTTAATGCCATTTAAAAGCCTAAAAGCCTAAAATTAGCCCAATCTTTTGCTAGAAGCCAAAAATAGCTATTCTACGCAATTCTGCAAGGGTTTATAGTTTGATAGTAGTTTGATCTTCAAGTTTGTAGTAGCCTTCGGCAAACAAAACCAAAACCAAAACAGACCAAAACCAAAACCAAAACCAAAACCAAAACAAACCAAAACCAAAACCAAAACCAAAACACCAAAACAAACCAAAACTCAATTTGCATATAAATTAACATGTAAATTTAAAATTGTAAAATGCAAATTTTAATGTAAAATGCAAATTAGCCTTTGACTTTTTGCTCACTCCACAAAATCTCGCGGCCGAAAAAAAGGACCAAAACACGACCTCAAAATTTCGAAACAAAAAATAGCCTATGGGATAGATTTTTGGATGCTGATTTCAAATCTGCAAACAGATTTTCGCTAGCTCCTCCCAGTCGCGAGATATTGGCGAGTTTTGGTTTTGGTTTTGGTTTTGGTTTTGGTTTTGGTTTTTGTTTTGGTTTTGGTTAAGTTTTGTTTTCCGAAGTCTAGTTTGTAGTCCGACTTTGTAGTCTGACTTTGTAGTTTGTATGGCTAGTGGATAAATTTGTCTCAAAGTCACCCAACGTAAAACCTTGCCAGTACCATTATAAGACAAAGTCTACCTTCGTTTACCAAACAACAAAGGCCGGCAACTCTTTCGCACTCACATAAATGTGTCTCCGGTGTCTGATAGTTGGACATCGTTAAAGGAATGAAAAGGGTACCCCCATTAAAAGGGTATCCTCCAGTTTGCGCTTGTAGTTTTGCTGGGTTTAGAACACAAAGTACCACGATTTATGCATTCCAAGTGAAACAAATCAAGTTTTCTAATGAAAACTATCTTGGAGTTGCATAAAAGATCTTCATTAATGAGTTTTAAACAAAAAAACTTTAAAAAACTTTTCAGCATCTCCTCCAAACCACTGGATTCATCGACTTTTGCTCAACAATCGCCAAAATTCGTCTCCAACTCGAACTCCAGCTCGACACCTCGTTTCAATCCATTTATGACTAAACAATAACGAAAAAAACAACTAACCTTAACACTTAATATTTTAAAATTTAACAATTCACAGTTCTTCAAAAGATTTTATCATTTTTTAATCTTAGTCTATAAACTTTAAACTTAATCTATAAAATCAGTTCACAGAATTGTTAACAAGGCTTAACGAGATTTCAAATTTGACCAGTCATATCAGCTCACTGTAATCTAAAACTTTTTCGGTTCTTGTGTAATTTCTGGGCATTTTGAAAGAATCCGAATATTTTGGAAGAATCCGGGTATCTTGAACGAGTCGTCATGCTTTGAAGGCTGATAACTTCGCCCAGCAATCATATTTTTGCTAACTTTTTATATCATTGTACAGAGAGCATTTCAGGCTTTAAAATGATACCAAATAGAGCTTGATTGGATAATCGAGTCCAAGAAAATCAGAGCCAACTCTGAGGAAATGAGGTCCATCCAACTTGGGTGTCTTATCGCCTTGTTTTCATGGGAATGAAAAATCCAATCAAGCTCTATTTGGTATCATTTTAAAGCCTGAAATGCTCTCTATACAAAGATATAAAAAGTTAGAAAAAATATAATCTCTGGACAAAGTTATAGGCCTTCAAAGTGTGACGAGTCGTTCAAAATATCCGGATTTTTCCAAAATATTTGGATTCTTTCAAAATACCCAGAAATTACGCAAGAGCCACTTTTTTTTATCAGAAAGTCCAGTTTATCCAATTATTATTTATTTTGGTATCAAGCATTCAATAAAAATCTTTAAAAAAGCACTCTAAAAAGGCTAACAATACTAGCCTCATTCAGAGTAAGACTTTTAAGGTTTAATCTGATTTTTTGAGTACTATTTTAAAGAGTTTTGTTGAATGTTTGGTATCAAAATGAAGCTAAGAACATTGGCTTTTTGATAGAAAAAGTTTCAAATTGCTAGCAACTTTCAGTGCGCCGATATGACTGTCCGAAGGGGAGCAACCCTAAAATCTCGTTAGCCGTCTCTATTCCGAACGATTCTTGTCACAAAACTTGTCCATCCACAAAACTTTACTTTGCTCGAGGCTAAGCACACTCTAGTGCACTGGATTCTCTAATTTTCATAAGATTCAATGCAATAGAAGTGGCTTTTTAGTAATAGTGGTTGAAATAGTAAATCATTGAGCACAAAGTACGCAAGTTTCCCTTTGTACAACTTGTATTGCAAATTGATTACCGATTTGTACCAAACAAACCCTGCTAAATCCTGCAAAACCCTGCAAAATCATGCTAATTTTCATGCAAATATTTGTCTTTCTTTAATTTTCTATTTTCCTTTGATTTATTGAATAAAAAATGGTTTTAAAAATGGTTTTAAAAATGGTTTTTAAATGATTTTAACACGTTGACGACAATGGCGTTTTTGCACAAACAATCGCATCGGACAGCGTTGTTTTTTTTCGACAAAAGTTTTTTCGACAGCTGTCACCTGAAATTGTCACGTAAAAAAATTAAAATTTTAATAATCAACGGTTAAACCGAGATTTTCCGGGACCAAGTCGAATATAGATACTATCCTACTTGCTTATTTATATTATTTATTTAATATCCATCATCAGCAAACATAAATATGCACAAAAAAATCAATTTTGGTACTGTCACCCGACATCAGGTGACAATGTCCCGGGAGGCGAACGAATATGTGTCAGACAGCATCAGGTGACAATTTCAGACAAATTTGTGGCTCCAATGATGTCGTCAACGTGTTAAAAGCTTGGCAAGAGTTCAAAAGTTCAAAAAGTTTTGGGGAAAATATTTGGGTGCCAATTCAGAGAAGAGATTTCATTTTTTTTTTTTTTTGAGAAAAATACGGGGAAATCGATTTGTTTGAATACATGAACGATTTGGAGGAAAAAGGGGAAAAGAGATCATCAATTCCGACACACACACAAAAAGGCGATTCCCAACCACTGAACGCTTTCGATTTTCGATTTTTTTGTGGCTCCAATGATTTTGAGAGTTTTTCTCTGGTTTTGTTGCAAATTTGGAAAAACTTGTTATTAGTTTTTTCAGTTGGAGTCTTGCCAAAGAGCGGTTACCTTTTGAATGGCATTTTGTCAAACAAGGGGACCAGCAAGTGCGCCAGATTGCGCCAGATTCCAGATTCCCCTAGATCCCAGATTCCGCTAGATCCCAGATTCCGCTAGATCCCAGATTCCGCTAGATCCCAGATTCCGTTAGATCCCAGATTCCACCAGATTCCAGATTCCCCTAGATCCCAGATTCCCCTAGATCCCAGATTCCCCTAGATCCCAGATTCCGCCAGATTCCAGATTCCCCTAGATCCCAGATTCCGCTAGATCCCAGATTCCGCTAGATCCCAGATTCCGCTAGATCCCAGATTCCACTAGATCCCAGATTCCCCTAGATCCCAGATTCCGCCAGATTCCAGATTCCGCTAGATTCCAGATTCCGCTAGATCCCAGATTCAGCTAGATCCCAGATTCCGCTAGATCCCAGATTCCCCTAGATCCCAGATTCCCCTAGATCCCAGATTCCAGTTTCCTGGCTTTGTTAAAAACGAAAATTGCTCCACTGTGCTCCCACTTTGCGCCCATTTTTCTTCAACTTAAGAAGAGCTTTTCCAAAAGTTTTTTATACCATCGTGTAGCCCATTTAAAGGGCTACATTTTGATACCAGACTCGCACAAAGAGAAGCCCCTGGTAGATGGAAATGTCATACGGCGCAATTTTCGTTTTTAACACAGCCATGCAATCTTCATGGTCTGCAAACAAGATCTTTTTAAATTAAAATACTCTATTAGCTACAGTAGGCAAGTGAGCTCCGAGTCAGGCCATTGCCTTGACTAGGTGGGATTCTAACTTAGAGGCGTTCAGTTATAATCCCGCAGATGGTAGCTTCGCAGCATTGGCCAATGGTGCGAAGCTACCATCTGCGATCGGCCAAGTGCATGAACCAAATGTCTGAACCTGCGGTTCCTCTACGTACTAAGCAGGATTACTATCGCAACAACTAGTCAACAGTCAACAGTCAACAATAGCTTGCTTGCCCTAACTACCTGAAGCTCGATTCGAACTTTTTCAGTTTTCGGCTCAAGTCCAAGCCAGCTTAGAATCGAGATTTGCTTCAAAAGCAATAGATTGAGTTGCAAAGTCATCCCTAACTAGTTTGATCTGGCTTGGAGGTCTGTTGGTTAATTACTAGCTAGTCAGTTAGTTGTTGGAGCTCTGTTGGTTAGTTACTAGCTAGTCAGTTAGTTAGTCAGGGGTTAGGATTACAATCCTAGCCCATCCCACAAATTTTTCCATCCATCTGAACATTTCAAATCTGCAATCGCTACTTTCAAAACCAGAGATTGTTTTGGTCTTTCAGAACTAACGAATCCTCAATCAGGAGATCCAGGAAGACCAAGGAAGACCAGAATCCCACAAGGAACACCAAAATCTGACTAAAAGACTTCATTTTTTGCGTTTTGAATATCAAAACCCGGCTATAAACCCGCCTAAGCTTGGTTTTGACCTGAGCTTAGGCGTTGCTTAAAAAGTTTCGTCTATAAACAACCCTGTTTTCGATATTTCTGCTATGACAGAAGCGGATTCTATTGTTTTTGCATGTTAAAATTGAATATGAAATACCAAAATCGGATCCGATCCGTTCACAAATTGCCTTTTGGTCGGATTCTGTCGTCGGAAACCGACCATATTCCAGATAAATGCTAATTAGCGAGCTCTTAGCCAAGTTAAATGCTAATTAAGCAAATGCATTTTTTTTACTTAAATTAAAACAAGACATATACAATTGTAAAACAAAGCTCAAGCAAAGAATTTTGTGACCAATCTGCGCATGACCAATCGTTGATTGAGTGTTTTAAATTCTGATCAAGGGAGGCTTGATTGAGTCATTGAGTCATTGAGTCATTGAGTCACAGTCATCGTTGACATATTGATTGAGTCAACTTAAAGTTAGTTTTCAGGAGGAGACATAGGTTAGAGGATTTAGTTTCATTCTAATACAGCATTTACGGTGTCTTGAATGTGATCGGATTCTGATGGTAGAATCAGATCCTGACGACAGAAACAGATTCTGATGATAGAACCCGATTCCGATGATAGAATCCGATGATAGAATCAGAGTCTGATGATAGAATTGGATTCTGTCATGTGATCTAGGTCGACAGAATCCAATTCTGATGATAGAATCCGTTTCTGATGATAGAATCCGTTTCTGATGATAGAAACAGACTCTGTTATGTGATCTAGGTCGACAGAATCAAATTCTGATGATAGGGTCCGATTCTGATGATAGAATCCGACTCTGTCATGTGATCTAGGTCGACAGGATCCAATTCTGATGCTAGAATCCGATTCTGTCACGTAATCTAGGTCTGTGATGTCATAACATTTAGACTACTAGCCGTTGGCAAAAAAAGAACTTCAAATAACCCCAAATAACCCCAAATACCCTTTTTCCTGAGTCCAGCTTGGCAAACAATCAGAAAAGAAGAACGAAAACTTTTCACGTATTTGATTTCAAGAAAAACTAAGCGACTTTTTAAATCAAATCGAATTTTGTTAAATGTTTCCATCTTTACTTTTCACATTTTTTTCCATTCCTCAGACAAACATTATTGGTTTAAATGGGGGGAAAAGCGATAGCATTTCATTTCATTTTGACGCCTTTCCGGGTCATTAAATTTTTTTGAATCGAAAATTCTTAAAGATTCCTCGAAATTGATTGTTTTTCTTTCTCGAAAAGCTTTCAGTTAAGAGGTTTTTTCAGTTTTTTGACCGATTTTTTTGGCGTATTCCCACGCGGCTCTAAATTACTCATTATGATCTTTTTTTTTTGAGAGTTTTCAAGTTGAAAAAAAATGATGAGAATCATTGATTTTTGATTGAAATCTTTTATGTAATTTTTGTTTGATTTTTTGTTTGCTTTTTTTGTTTGATTTTTGGTGTAAAACTTTGGTTATACAATCTGTCAAAAAAATTATTGACGCACCCTGTTTTTTGCTAGTTTAG